TGCAATATTAGAAACGGAACCGTTTCTTCCAAGGGTGTTTCTTCTCCGCAACGCTTCAGGTACCACATTCTCCCGGCTTTCGCTACTGGCAGATCTCGAAACTCCATTTCCCTCAGCTTGTGCTTTCTTGAAATCCTCTTTCTTTTTCAATATCGCATCTTTGAATTCATCTTTGCGTTCAGTCTTTACGGGACCTCCAGTAAGGTTGAGACCTGCCTTTCCACGTGTGATATTGTCCTTGAGCATATCCGGAGCAATGTAACTTTGAGTCTTCGTCCTCCGTAGTTGACCAAAGACATTCTTAAATTCTGGCTCTTCTTTGGGCTTTTCATCAGCAGGAACCTGGCGTGATTTCAAAACAGAGCGGAAATCATTCTTTGGAGGAGTTGTGGGCTTGGCCTTCACTGAACTAGCAGGTGAATTCAAATTGGCTTTGGGTGTTCCAGACGGGGTGGATGTAAAATTTGGATTGAATTTTTGTATGGTGTCAGAAATAGGAGTGGAAGTGGAGGGTGTCGATGGCCTTTCGGCTTTTGTATTCCCAGCGGCGCTCTTACTATCCTGATTAATCATGCTCTCGATGTTTCGCTGTGGTGTAATGCCAGGAGAAAACGCAGTTGGGAAGCCTCGAATGCTTGAAGGCGTTGTCAATGCGCCAGGAGGAGGGGATCTCATTAGCCCACCAATGTTTACTTCGTGCTTCACGGTCTGACTTCTACCCAAGTCGACACTGCCTTTCTGTTTTGCTCTGTTGATTTCTGACATCCACGATGGCTGTTGAGGCGGTGGTGTGGCTTTAGGTTTCGGTGATTCAGGTTTGTTTAACGCGCTCTCGAGCCAACTAGATTTGGTAGGACTCCATCGTCTTGAGTCTGCAGTTTTCGTAGGGCTGACAGGCAAACTATCATCTGCTGGAGGCGATTGATTCCCACTATCTACCTCTTTAGCTTCGGCCGGGGTGTAAGATCTAGCTGTTGCCAAAGATGGTCTCATGAAGTTGGAATTATCATTCATCGTAGAATTTGTTACATTGCTTTTCATAGAGCTTGCTGTGCCTGGGCGGTGGAGTTCACCATGACTTGAGGTAGGTCTTGATGCAGGCCTTGAGGGAGAAGTTGATTGATTATCCGCAGCAGGATCAAAAGACGAATTCTTCCGATCTAATGATGGTGAAGCAACAGACCACCGCTTATTCATACTCTCCGATCTTTTCATCATCGCACTTTGGACAAATCCACCCATTCCTTTGGTTGGAGAATTGGGCCGGTCTAGTCTATCGGGCGATATGCGACCTTGCGAAGGTGACATTGCTAGGCCTCGAGTGTCCGACACACTATCAGCAGCAGGTGGATCCAATCTCTGAGCGTCAGTCACTGGAATTGGTGATCCCATGCCAACACCCGGGTTGCTCTGAAATGACATTCTAGAGCCGCTTCCATATGAAATGCTATTCCTTGCCGGAGGCCTTGTGGGCGATCTTGTAGGAGTTGAAGAATAATCCTTGGCCTCGTTCGGTGTCTTGTCTGGCGTAGAATTATTACGAGCCATTCCTGGCATCTGAATTGACCCGTGTGTTGCTCTTTCTTCGTCTTCTACCTGATTCTTTCTGTAGGCTGGTGAATTGACGCCTCGATCAGCGGTTTGCCTAAACCAAGCTGGATCCTTGGATGCTAGTGATTGCGCAATTTGTTCTCGAGAAGGGGTATTATCATCGACAGACGTGGTATTCTCAGGTGTCGGTGTAGTTGTTCTCGATAGCATTACCCTATCTGTAGCAACCATGGATAAAGGTCGACTCCGCGGTTTATCGGAAGGTTCTGGTCTGCGTGCCCATGATAAAGGTGAATTTCTTGAGGGCATAGCATTTGACGGTGAATCTCTAAACTGAGAGGTCCGCTTCAAATCCGGCACTGAATTTAAGGCCATTTCGTCTACGTCGTTGTCAACAACACTCCCGCGCCGAGACTCAGAAGATTGGTCGTCTGAAGTTGAAAGAATGCCTGATATAGGTCTTCTAGGTGTACTCATAGGAGAGGACTTCGTAGGTGAGATGGATAATGCCCTTTCTGAAGTAAACATTAGCAAGAAGTACATTTCTGACCTATCATATTATAGCATGGCGACGGGCGGAACAATGTCTCTGAAAAGAAAGTTTAAATAGAAATCAATTACCAGCTCTGCGAGCTTGTCTTTCTTTTCTGCCTTGCAATATCTCTTCCTCTAACTTTCTTGTGCGGTCTTCGTCTTCTTGGTCCCGTTTATTGCCCAATTCTTTGATACGCTGCAAGAAATCATTGACATCGGGCTCTCCTTCGGTATTCGACATATTTATAAGAGGCGGCGGCACAACAACACGGGAGAAGAAATTTAAATGGTGTATTCCAGAAAACAGGACAATCCAAGTTACAACTCGGCGGGGTAAACGCGTTTGCACGAGGGGTCGAGGTTGTTGAGTACCTCAAAGGATTGTTCTAGTAAGGAAGGTTGAAGCTTCCAAGGTTCGCTTGGTCAAGGTTTCATAAAGTTCATAACTTAAGCTGCAAGCTTTCATTTAAAAGTAAGGTTACAAGTGCGTAGATATGGATACAACCTTGGGTTGTTGCCATTTTTCTTTTTACAACTGTACATACATAAAACGTGGCACATATTCTATCGTCGTATACTTGCGTGCTTCAAGAAGTCATGACAGATGTATTGATTGACGCACACTTCTTACGATGAGTTTCAAACATTCTACACCTTCCTACCTATCTGTTAACTGTTAACCTATTCATAATTGATCAACATGTACTGGATATACTTCGTACCCTTCCTTGAGCGGCGGCTGTCACACAATTACGCGCTTAGGTCGTATACAAACAATAAACAATAGAAGCTCCTATAACTCAAAACAAAGAAGATCCTGGCTGTATTATCAATTTTTTTTTTACAAAGGGGTAAGATTGTTAAGGTACCGGTACCCGTACACCCATCTAGGTAAGCTGGGCACAGAATTAAATGACAAAATGACACTAGAGAAGTCCCAAATTAAAATAAACAAACAAATCTCTTCTTTTCGTAACTATGTCACTAAAATGGGATATTCCTAGTATTGGATTGAACGAATTTCGGAGATCCACCAGTGGTCTAGTTGGTCTAGTACTCCGTATACCTAGGTAGTGAGGTTCCTAGCTAGTAAGTACTCTATTTCGGTAGTAGTCGACTTTTTCGACTCCCTCACCGACATCAATATAGAAATAATCGTTCCTTGGAGTCTTCGACAACCCAAGTCAGTCCTTCGTCCAAATTATCGCCTGTGATCGCGCTGCAATTGATGATGTGCCATTTGTGCGTCCGAATCTCATCTAGCACCAACATCTGTTTCCGGTTAGTATGTCCACTTCTCTTGACGACGCCCTTTACGCCTGCATGTTTTTCAGTCTTCACTCACATCTTTGATTTCGGTCTTGGTCATGCAGCCATTAACATCTGTCTTGTTGGCAAATACAAGAAGACTCGCCCCAGAAAGTCTCTATAGAGTGTCAGTTATTGGCATTGTAAAAACTCAATACTTTACTATTGACAAACCTCTTCCTGCAGTAAAGCATGCAACTCTTCCTTGCAATCTTCAATTCGTAGACGGTCAGTGGCATCAACCACCCATATCAAAGCATCAGTCTTCTCAAAATAGTTTCTCCAGTATGATCGGAGAGTCTTTTGACCACCAACATCCCCTACAGTTGTAAGGTTCAGCATATATTTCACTAGAAATAGCGGAAAGTTAAAGAGGTAATACAAATGTTCAGCTTGTAACTTTAAATGGTCAGCGTGCTGTAACTTCTTCATAGGTGGCATAAGATGTACCCAGAATGCTCAATAGTTTTGATGATGAAACCCAGTGTTGGGCTCACAGTATTGACATCTTCGCCCATGATTCTTTTGACTATCGTAGTCTTGCCAGCATTGTCCAGTCCGCTGTGCGAAAAATTAGAAAAAGACGATCAGCAAGGAAAGATTGTCAAGGGGGAATAGCAGTCTCATACAGCATCAAAATTCTCATCTCCTTGTCCTTGAGTCTCGCCTTGCGTAATATGGATAACATCTTTACCAAAATCTTTCTATGTCGTCGTTGGCATTGCTCTCCTCGAAAGTTCGTCAGGGAAAGAAATGTACCGTTCTGCTCACATTCGATAGAGAGACAAATAAATCACGTGATAAAATTCTAATGTCCTGACGTTTCAATTTCTGTTTGGAAAAGTAAATTATTTCAATGAATAATTTCTCACTACCTACCTACTAGGTAGGTAAAAGATCAGATTTTCATCCTTGGCTGCTGGAGATGTTCTCGTGTGCTTGTCAGTCTATGCAACGAGACGTCAATGTTTCGATACTGCAAGTTGTAGCTTCCCGATTCAAACCACAATCTCTCTTGTAGTTACTATTTCATGATGGGATTAATGATAGACGGATGGTATAATTTGCGATTAATAGATTGGACACTCCTCATACTCTTCTCTGTTCGAAAGTTTGATCTTATTCGAAGAAGATGAAAAAGTCCCAACATTCATGAAGAATTTCAATTTCTGATCCTCTCGATTATCTTACTTCACTCAATTCACTTCTCCGCAACATACCTCGTTTTAGTTAACCAGTAGCATGCCTACTAGGTTCTCACCTTCAAGCTCGTCTCAATAACACAGAACAATAACTCAGCCACGACAATAAAAGATTGCCTGGGTACCTTGTTGTCGCTTCCCATTGAAGGTATTTCTTTCTTCTATAAAGCTGGTATCAATTTCTTCCTATTTTCCTCAATAGGCTATACAGACAGACAAAATTACTATCTACTTTACTCACCGTTCCTCTTATCCGCCTTGTTTAATATTCCACGCACAAATAACGAATCACTTTGCAGTTCCACTCCTTTTCGCGACTCTCTGCTGCTTTGTCGATTCCAATTTATGCTCTTCGTCACCACATCTTTGTGCAATTACTTTCGCCTTTGTAATAGTCTCGCGGAAATGGAACATCCCTCTAAAATAATAGTTTCAACAGAGAGAGACGAGGAATTTGAGAAGGCCCGCATCAAACGCCTCCGAGGAGATTTCGAACAAGATTATCTAGCATTCAAAGATGAGGTGCTTGAGATCGCCGGGAAGGTAAACGGTCTTGGTTCATCACGATTCGCAGTTGGTCGCCAGAAGCTCTATCAAGTCACACCAGGCGGTCCGAGAAATCTCGATTTGGATGACAACTCTCTGTGTAGACATAAACCTTCACCGCCACCAAATATGGCGAAAATGAGCGTGTTAACAGGAAAAAAGGATCTGGCATCCCAGTTGTCAAAGTTGGGAGGCTTAGAGAATTCTCGCTGTAAGTATCTTTTCCCATATCCCTTCTTTCGCTCGCTGATTGTGTCAGTTTCTCCTAAGGTTCACGACAATACCATCAATAAATTCAACTGTCAAAATAGTTCCGTGGAGAGTGCATTCAAGGCAAAGGCGACCATCTCTACCCCAACCAAGCCGAAGAGTAGATCTCCTTCTTTGAGTGGTTCAGCCAAGTCTTTCACACCTCGGACTCTCGAAGGATCACCTTCTAGTGGCGGCGGTGGTGTTTCATTGGCTCCAGTTAGTCTACCTTTTAGTTTCTGGTTGCTATTACTGACTATGTACTCAAGTGCTCAACCACCGCTGTCAAAGGTGGTACATTCAAGAAGCCAACTCCTGAGAAGTTGATGGAGCAGAGGCTCATGGCGGACTTTCACAAGCGCATGGGTAAATCTCAAAATGCCAATTCACCCAGAGTCGACAGCGCCAATGAGGTCATCATGGTCCCAGTCTTGGTATGGCTTTTGATTCTATCATCGACCCACATCACTAACTTTAACTCAGTCTCCTGCTGCTGTTGTCCCAGATGCCAAAGCAAACACTACAGTTAATGAAAACATCTCAGTCGCAAGCCAAGAGCTCTTTGTTGCTATTGGTTCTGTTGCACCATCTTCTATCCCAGCTACACACATCACCAGCTCTGCGGTGCAAGCTTCAGTTACTGGTGGTGTAAGTAGTGAGTCGTTCCCACTGACTGCTCCTACCCAGACAGTCATCTCTGGCCGTTCCCTGATGAGGGAAGATGAGTTTATGAGAATGCTACTTAAGGATAAACAAGAGAGGGATTTGAAGAGAAAGTCTGTCGCTACTTCAAAATCAATAACCCATAGCGAAAATCTCAAGGGTACATTTTTACTTTCAAAACTGAAAAATTCTTCAAAACTAGAATAGGTTAGGGCTAACAAAATTGTGCATTAGTGAATACACAGCAATTGAAATCCGATTCACCCCCTTCTTCCCCGAATGAGTCTCCGCTTTCCCTGCAGCTCCAAACCTCTACAGATGAGGAAGTCAACTCGAACAACAACAATACTTTTGAGCACAAGTTAGGTAGGTCATACTGGCGCTGGCTTCATGTGATTCAATAATTACTGATAACTTTATCCAGAATCCCCCAGTACTGAAAAGCCGACCTTTCCACAAAGACAGAACTCACACACAAAAATGTCGAATAAGCCTCTAATACCTGCACCAGTCAACTCAGTAAGCATTTGCACACTTGATCTGTTCATTTTCTCTTGCTTTTACACGATCTTTGCCCCCTTGTCTAATATTTCATTCTTCGATTCACCTCTCTTTCATCCCTATACCTGTCGTGACTTTGAAGAGGACGAATCTTGCTAACGCATATCCTTACAGTGGACCACTGCAAAGTTGACTCAAGGCAAGACTCTAAGCAAAGCAGATGAAGACTTCCAAACATTCATTACGAAAAAAGCGGCTGCAGATGCGGAGGTACGAGCACAACAACAAACTGTGTCACCTATATCACCAAAGCCTGCCCCAAGAAAGCCAACACAGGCCGAAGCAAATGCAGAAAAGCGCAAGCTAGCTGCTGGAACAGCCGATTTCAGTGCGTTTCTTGCTCGCCGCTTTGCAGATCCCCCCATCATCAAAAAGGAAAACATCTTGATTGCAAATCCTTTCGCCGAGAAAGTTGTTAGTGTGATGAGCACGATTGATGATAATCATACAAATACTGCTATCAGTTTGGCTGCTTTGAAGGTCGAATCCTCTCAGGACAAAATTTCCCACGTTGCTGTTCACAGTTTCGCACCAAAGGAGAAACAGGCTGCCATTCTTACCAACACACAAGTCAACGATACATTGAATGGAAAGCTTGTGGATAACTTAAACCAAGCTGTTAGCTTAGTCTCCTCGCCTCCATTCTGGTCAATCTCTAGCTTTTCTGACGTTGGCGATAAGTTGAAAAAAGCCGACATTGGTACAGAATCCAAGGAAGGCGTTCGTCTATCTGAAACAAAAGATGCAATCTTGACCTTGTGCGATTGGGATGGTACCTGGTGTGCACCACCAATTTGGGAGGAGCGTGGAGCTTTCGATTCTGCTTACATTCCATCTTACATTCGTGAGTGGTCTAACAATGTCAGCCCTGTGCAGCCAGTCACAATTACCATCGACACCTCTGCCGAAGGATTTAGATCTGGCGAATATGTTGTCAATAACGTCGTCCTTTCCAAAGCACCCCATCATGAGCCAACAATTCCTGGTAAGTTTGTTTCCTCGAAAAACTCATGTACTTAGTTTTAGTCTCATGAACTAACTTTGCTGCTAGATATCTTGAATGCCTCCGATGAACAAAAGAGACTCCATCAGACTGCAGCCAAAAACGCAGCAGCTTACTTCCAGAAGGTAGAGCGGGCTCGAAAAGCACAAGAACAATCTGTCATAGCAAGTAATGCTCACTATGAGCGGCAAATGGCGGAAGACCCCGAGCCAAATACATCTGCTCCTAAAATTGAGATTTATCTACGACCCGCCACTGAAGCTGATACAAAGCAAATTTTGGAGATTTACAACCATTACATTTGCGAGTCTTATATTCCAGAGGATCAAGTGCCAGTCACTGATAATGACATTCTCTACCTCATACAGGTCACCAAAAAAGAGAAGTTACCTTTCGTGGTTGCCGTCAAAGGTTGTATTCCAGCGAAATCCACCAATCCAAAGGTTAAGACCAAGTTACCGCAGTATGAGAATATCGTTGGCTTTGGTTACACTGAGAATCGTGGCTGTGGAATTACTGGAAAATCTAACGGTCGATCCAGATTCACACACAATCTACACTTTTATGTTCACCCTGAATATACACGCAAGGGAATTGGTGGCTGTGTTCTAGATCGTCTCCTCGTGGTTTCAAGTCGTGCTTGGTCTAGTCATGGTGGATACAACTGGCTCAACCCTGATAATGATCGTTCTTACGGCCACGGTTGTGGCGCCCGCTGTCACCAACTGATCATCGAGGTTCCCGTCAAAAAGGATAACCTCGATTACGAGTGGATGAAAAAGTTCTTGCGTAACTTCTGGTTCCTGGATGAAATTCGACTCATCTCTGTTGGTCGAACTTCTGTGTTGAAGAGTCCAGTAGAGTGGCTCGACGTCGTGCACTTCCAAAAGGAACTTGAGCATTCAGGCGAATTCACACATATGGTATAGCTGTCTTAATCAAGAACGTGATTGATTGACACAATCTCGACTTTCGAATATCCAATGCCCTTTATTTCCGCTTTTCTTATTTTCTTTTCAATGTGTTACCATGGCAGATCCCATCACTCTGGAAGCGGCTGTGTTTGAGATCATATTGACTTTAATTACTGGTCTTTTCGAGGGGGATAATCAGGGAAAAGCTCTGGGTTGAATATGAAGAATGTGGAGTTGGCAAAATGAAAGAAAGAATGGAAGCATTGAACGATGGAATACGATTTGCGAGGAGTTTCTACCCTTTGGCGCTAAAATACTCAAAGATCTGCAGTTAATAAACGAGATCTGACGGAGCTTTTATTGAACTGAACGTACTTAAATTGTGAAATACAGAGGAAATAATACAAGAAATCAATATGTGTTCCTCAGTTGTAGCTTTATGGTGATTTTCCTTACAATTATGAAGTATAATTTATGCACATCATTTTTCGTGCTCGAGATTTATGCAGTTTTTTAAAGCTAACCAATTTTGTCAACAAAAACAGATTCTGCCAGGCGGTAAAACCACTCTCTAACTTTTTTTCTCCAGTGATCGAAAATCTTAAGACAGTTTAAACCAAACATGGCACCCAAACGCAATCGCGACGATGACTTTGTGCTCACACTATCAGACAATGAAGGCGAAGACTTAACCAACGTTGTCGAAGAGGAATTGCCTCTAGATCCTTCCTCGAACAAAAAACGCAAACGCAACGATGATACTGCTTCGACAAAAAAGTCCAAGAAATCAAAGAAGAAGTCCGAGGAAGAAGATGTGGAAGAAGAGGGAGTATGGGGAATTAAAGATGCAGATGATGGGGCAATGGATTCCGATTTTGAATTTGCATTGGAAGCAGACGGAACAGGTGGCGCGGATTTAGAGGAGTTTGAGGGTTGGGGGTTTGATGGAGCAAAGAAGGGACTCAATGGAGGTGATAAAAAGGCAGTGGATATTGATGAGATCATTGCACGAAGAAGAGAAAAGAAGAAGGCCTCTGGAAAGAAGGGAGAAGCAGATGATGAAGTAATGGCGGACCAAGAAGACGCTGTAGCTTCAAACGAAGAACAAGATGCGCCCGAGGGTATGGATTTTGAGGATGAAGATGATGAATTCATGGCCGAAGATGGATTTGGAATGGGTGCTGGATCTGCGGAAGAGTCTGGAGCAGAGGAGGATTCTGATGCAGAAGATAACGAAGAGGGAGAAGATGACGATTCAGATAACGATTCAGTTGCATCTCCGGCACCTCACCCAGACGATGCTGCTTCTGAGGCTTCTGACGAAGATGAGGATATGGACGATGACCCAGAAGAAGCTGCCAAGAGAGAAGCATTTTTCGCTCCTGAAGAAAAGCCAGTCAAGGGTGCAAAACAAGAACTCAACACAACATTCCAAAGCATGTCATTATCTCGACCAATTCTTCGAGGTCTTGCCACTGTCGGTTTCACGCAACCTACGCCAATTCAATCGAAAACTATACCTGTTGCTTTACTTGGAAAGGATGTTGTTGGTGGTGCTGTTACTGGTTCTGGAAAGACAGCAGCATTTATTGTTCCGGTTCTTGAACGTCTTCTATACAGACCAAAGAAAGTGCCAACCAGTAGAGTGGCTATTCTTATGCCAACTCGTGAATTGGCAATTCAATGTCATGCAGTCGCTACGAAACTCGCAAGTCACACAGATATCAAATTTTGTTTGGCAGTTGGAGGTCTTAGTTTGAAAGTTCAAGAAGCTGAATTACGTCTTCGCCCAGATGTCATTATTGCCACTCCAGGTCGTTTCATCGATCACATGCGCAATTCCCCAAGTTTTACTGTCGATACCCTGGAAATTCTTGTTCTCGATGAAGCCGATAGAATGCTTGAAGCTGGTTTCGCTGATGAGTTGAATGAAATCTTAACGACCATTCCTAAGTCAAGACAGACTATGTTGTTCTCTGCAACAATGTCTTCATCTGTAGACAATCTTATTCGTGTCGGTCTCAACCGACCTGTTCGATTACTTGTGGATTCCCAGAAGTCAACTGCGGGTACTTTGACACAAGAATTCATTCGTCTTCGTCCAGGAAGAGAGGGTAAACGCATGGGTTATCTTTTGTATCTCTGCGCAAATGTCTACACTGATCGAGTCATTGTCTTCTTTAGACAGAAGAAGGAAGCTCATAGAGCACGTATCATCTTCGGACTGTCTGGTCTCAAAGCTACTGAATTGCACGGTAGCATGAGTCAAGAACAGGTATGCTTCTACTTCTACTCCCATCACTAATATTACAATAACTAATAAATTCAGCGTATCAAAAGTGTAGAGGCATTCCGTGATGGAAAAGCTTCATTCCTTCTCGCTACTGATCTTGCCTCCCGTGGTCTTGATATCAAGGGTGTTGACACAGTAATCAACTACGAAGCCCCTCAATCTCACGACATCTATCTTCATCGTGTCGGACGTACAGCTCGTGCTGGCCGTTCAGGACGCGCTTGTACTATTGCCGCAGAACCCGATCGTAAAGTTGTCAAAGCAGCTGTAAAGTCTAGTCGTACACAAGGAGCCAAGGTTGTCAGTCGAGTGATCGAGGCTAGCGAGGCAGATAGTTGGAGTGAGAAGGTTGATGAGATGGCAGATGAGATTGAAGAAATTTTGAAAGAAGAAAAAGAAGATAAGATTCTTGCGCAAGCAGAAATGGAGGTTCGCAAGGGACAAAATTTCATTGATCATGAAGCGGAAATTAAGGGAAGACCTAAGAGAACATGGTTCGAGACTGAGAAGGAGAAGTTGGCGGCGAAGAAATTGGGTGTTGAGGAATTGAATGGCGTGGTGGGGGGAAAGAAGAAGGGGAAGTTGAGTAATAAAGATAAGAAGAAGTTGGATGATAAGGGAGAGAGATTAGAGGGGAGAGTCTGGAAGAAGGGTAGACAGGAGAGAGATGGCAAGGGCGTTTTGGCTAAGGAGAAGGGGAAGAAGAAGGTTAAGGGTGGAAAACCTCCGGGACCGGGTGGAAAGAAACCTATGAGGCCTATGAGAACGGGAGGAGCAAAGAGGAAATAGATGTGTAGATTAATACTGGTGGTGGAGAAAAGTTGAGATACCAATCCATTGTTTTGTTATGTGTGTATGAGATGAGTATCAATTGTGAATTCTTGATTAATGCTTTTCCACCACCAATCTAATGTTTTTCGGCACGCCGTGAAACAGAATCTATCACATCGACCGCGTTGGTCATAGGCCTGGAATTTCCATGCATAGTCTTACACTCAGAATCGCCCTGTCTGTTCAAGCAGACACCCTCAATCAAAACTCAATGCAATATGATATACATAATGGATATCACCATTATCAATGAACATATTAATTTTCATATTTCTATCTCATCTCATATCCACATTCCCCATACCAATATACATAACCCCCCCTAAGTTACACATCGCAATGCCATATATAATCATGACGCATTTCGGCATTTCGTATTCCACATATCCCTTTAGATACCCAAGTCTCAAGTCTCCAGTCTCAAGTTTCCTCGCTACCCAATCCCAACATCTTGTCTGGTGTCTAACATATACGACTCATTTTCACTCCATCAACTCCTTATTTTTAAGAAAAATAGAAACCAGAAGTACCCAGTCCTTCCCAGTCCTTCCGTACAGCCCTCGTGAGAAGTTTTCTCCGTTTTCCGTTTGCCCTAGAAAGAACCGATCCCTTAAGCAAACCAACCGACCGATCTCCCATATCACCCAGCCAAGAATATGTTTGTTCCAATACCCATCCATACCTAAATGCAAAACAGACTGGCAATATACTACGTAGAAATCCAAGTCCAATCCAAACTCCAAATGCAGAATTATGTAATTTTCTCCATGTGTCTATTCACAACCACCTCAAGTAAGAGTGATAAGTTCGATACTTGATCAATGCCCACTCATACCACCACCTCCATTTACTCCACCCATATTCATACCCATCATACCCTGACCACCCATTCTCATTTCGAAATCTCCTCCAACAGAATTGCCTCCAAATGCATCATCGTTCATTCCGTCCACATTGACAGGAGGCGGACTCAGATTAAAAGGCGGAAACCATGCGTTAGGCATTCCATTCTCAAGACCCAGCATATCATACCCATTTCCCATTCCGCCCAACCCAATATCTCCCCAATTCAGCATTGATCCATCGCCATTGTGATTCGTGCCTGGTGTACCACTATTGCTCATACTACCATTCATACTATTGCCGTTCATGACACCACCATGCAAACCATTGCCATTCAAAGCCGAGTGATCCATTGTCGCGTAATCGAATCCTAAAACGTCATTGAGTTGCCGCGGGCCTATATTGTGTGGTTGTTGCGATCGTTGCGACCGCATGAGAAGGTCGTGATGATTAACATACTGCGGTGGCGGATAGAGAGCAGCTGGCGACATAATACTTTGGTTATATGAATTTTGAGGTGCTTGCTGAGATGTCATCTGTGGATGTGATGACGATGGGGTCGATAACTGCATTCCTTGATGTGAAGCTTGCATATCAGAAGGCATGGCTTGCATGGTATCCAGCTGTGGGGGACGTGAAGGCTGTGATGTAGATTGGGTTCTTTTGACCTTTTGCTTTGTCGGCTTGGAATTTGATTGTTGTTTGGGGGAGGGAGTGGGTAAATCCTTGACGTAGTTCGCCACAGTCTTCAAGTCCGACTTTTGTTCGAGAACAGCATCATCCCCCTTCTCTTTCTTGACAGCTGCAGCAGGATCTTCAAAGTCAGACTGCGATACACCATGTGGGAATTTATCAAACCAATCGCCGTATTGGGGAATGCTTGATCTCGAGTCGTTACTTGAACCAGCAATAACTTTGTCTGCACATGTTTTGTAATGACTTCTGAGAGTTTCAGATAACGAGTGAAACATGCCCCAGTGCTTCTTCATCATTGTTATGTATCTCAGAGTTATTGTAAGATGCTTCCTAGAAGATTCTTCCAAACTAGGATTCCCCGAAAAGATACCAAGGACTAAATGCATACTGGCCGAGAATGCACAATACCCAACGAAAGGCGCAGTGAGAGACAAAGATTTTCCGTCATCGATAAGTTCAGCGATGCGACCGGCTGCTTCTATCGATTTGGACTCTATTTTAGTTAGAAATTCTTTGGGAGCATCGGATCGAGGTCCACTCCGTTCTAAAAGTACCGGATAGTGATAGAGAAATAAATTAGATTGTTCAATGACAATGTAGAGCAATATGAACTGATTTGCTAGTCCCTCGGATCGATGTGAACTAAGATTTTCAGCATTATATACCATCTCTTTCGGCATAGCGTCTTTAAAATCCTTCAATTTCTTGACTAGGCTAGGGTACTTCGATTCCGGTGACCATATAGGATATGGATCTTTGTCGATACCACCTTGATTGAAATGAGTGACAATATTAGAATACAGTGCAATTGATCGAATCACATATGCTGCTACACCTAAATTTTGTTTTGGGCTGGCCAATTTTGAACCACTAGGCGTGCTCTGATGTGCAACCTCCCCGTGGAGACTTTCTGTTAATCCTGGAATGTCGAGCAGAAACATGTTCTCCTTCACAGGCAACTGAATCTCAAGAGTTTCTTCTTTGATAAAAGTTGGTCGACCAGTTCCAGAAGATTCAAACCTATCCATGAGAAAGCATGCCCACATTGTTCGTCTTCGGATTTCCCTATCGATGAAGCTGAGTTTCACCGCATGGCCTTTCTCATCAAGCTTCGGTTTTTGAGGGTCGTAGTCAAGATCTTTGTGTAGTTGTAAAGCATATGCCATCCGGAAAGCTTGCCCTGCCAATGCCCAGCTTCTACCGCCGTGACAAGTTCCAAACTCATGAAACCCCAATATAAGCAAGCACGTCAAAATTGTGATATTTGGAAAGTCGTATCGTTTCAAAACAATATCACGAGCTTCAGAGGCCCACTCTTCCCCTTTTAAAAAGGGCGGCGCTGTAGTCAATTCAACATGATCGGAAAATCGAGCTGCGCAAGCACAGACGGCTAACACTAGGACAGGAGGAAGTGCTTCGGACCTACAAATTTTGTTAGTATTCAAAATTAGATTGTTTGTGTCAAAACTGACTTTAATTTCATCATGAAGCTTGGCTTGTGTAGTAAGTGATACGTCTGGCCATAAATCTTTTCGAAGAATACCTCGGCCAGGTGCTCTTGAAGCTCTCGCGAAGGTAGCTTTTCTTTGCCATCTTTCAGGAGTTTGCTTTCTGCGTCCTCCTGTGCTGATACAACCTTGGATTTCAAAACCGCTTTCCCATTCTCCTTTGAAAGCTTTATTGCCGACTTCGACCAATCATTCAAATCTGGCCCGAATGCTTCTTCTGCCGGTCGCTTTTTTGCAGCAGAAGTTTTAGATGGTAGCGTTCCCGGAATTGGAGGCTTAACATTAGCTCTTGCTACTGTAAGCGTGCCACTTTGTTCTTTTTGTTCTTCCTTTGGCATAGTATTCATGATGCGCGTTTCCATTCGCTTTATCCTCTTGTCAAGCATTGCCATGTAATCCGTCCTTGGCGTCGCTTTTTTTGTCGTGACCTTGTACACACAAGGAATTTTCGACCTGGTGCAATTGACACATGCGGGCTTCTCTCCTGAACAACGAATCTTTTTTCTTCGGCATGCTGTGCAAGCCAGTGGCAATCTTTTTCGCTCTTTACCTGCTTTGGTTTTGAGTTCGGTCCACGCAGGTGCTAATTCAGGTTTGTCCTTTCCTTTCTCTTCACTGCCATCCCCAGAACCTCCTGTATTCATTTTGAGATCATCCACCATAGGGGTATCGCCTTGGTGAAGATTTCCTACCATTCGACTGCTTGTGGGACTTGCTTCATCTGACCCCCCACTAAAGCTAGGATGCCGAGCCGTTGGTCCAGATATGCTACCATAACCATTTCGACGCATGGGAGGTATAGATGATATGGAATCTCGATGTTCGGTAGAATTCGCGAGATTAAATGGATCTGAAGTGCCATCCAGCTTCAGCTCACCTGGAGTTACGGTATTCTCCCCGAATACGTAGGGAAACTCGTATTCTTCAAGATTAGGCGTTCCTAATACATCAAGGGGCGGGGTATCCTGTGCTAACAGTTGATGAGAGTGATTTGCATTCTGATAATCAGAGGCATTCTGCGCCTGAAAGTTTTGATGTTGACCCGAGGGCATCATTTCTGTGAGCGCCTTCTGAGATCCTATTACTTGCTGTGTAATGCCTGTCTCACAGAACCATATACATTTATTGTTCCAGACCCCTAATCTGCCTAAACACCACCACTTCTAATAGTTCTGTGAACCCTAAGTCTTTGAGCAGTCCGCGAATTTATCATGTACTCATGTGTGTTTCAATCGCAATAAATCGCAACTTTAAAACTCGGATGATCGGTAGGTTCGGATGACGTCGATGTGAGTGTGAGTGCTTTGATGAGCAGCTAATAAGTTTGCAGCTGTGAAACAGTTCGAACTTCGCGACTGAGTGAGATTGGGTGAATTTGGTATGTAGAACTGAGTTGAGCTACGGCTCTCATTTCAAAAATTGAGGAATTGATCTTGAAGCATGCGGATAAGGTACTTGTAAGGTAGGGGTTGCAGTCGCACAGCAATCACGAAATTTAACAGGTAGAGAGGAACTACCTAGGTATAATGACAAAGGTGTAGGAATCTATGTCCCTCCTAGTACGGAAACTACTACCCAGTAGGTAAATGGAAGAGAGTAAGCCAAAAGTACAACTACTGGGATGACCGATGTGCCGCTTTGAGAATGATTTTGGTCCGGGTATTTTAGTATCCAGACCGTGCACAAAAATTCCCCTTCTTTGAGCATGAGAATCAGATGCTGCTTTTATGTTTGGTCTATTCATTGAGATATATATATACATATATATTCATACATATGGTGATGTATTCATCTACAAACTGAAATCTATATCATATATATTCTATATACTCTATTCCAAAGCTTGTTTAAGTGCTTGCTGGGAAGGAAGACATATGTGATATACACCGACCATGAAGCTTGATCTACCTG